CCTGGCCCTAGTTGGAGTCAATGCAGGAGACAATCAAGCAATGTTTCTCTCTCACATTGATGTTTTTCTCTCTGTTTCTCCCCATCCCTCCCACTCTCTCAAAAAATCGATGGAAAAATATCCTTGGGTGAGGATTAACAAAAAAGTCTCATGTAAAAGGCCCGTGGCCACGCCGTAATGCCCTCACAGCCAACCTAGTAGGTTCTCACGGGGGGTGGGTGGGGGGAGGCTGTGCGGCCATGGGCGGGGCAGCTGCACATGATTTCATGTGCACTGGGCCTCTAGTAATAAAATAAAAGCACACATATCTTTAAGAATATTTTAATGTTTATATTTATAAAAACATTTATATTAACATGCAATGGGTACAATGGGCTTATTATTTTTTAATGAATCAAGGAAAGATTTTTGAATCTTCTGTTTCAATTTCTAATAAGGTAAATATCAATATATAACTTACATAAACACAAGTTCTTTAGCTTCCATAATAAATTTTAGAAGTATAAAGGAATCATGAAACCAAAAAGTTCAAGAACCACTGGCTTATGACAAAAACTCATAAACGAGTCAGGGCTACTCCTGATCATTACAGTCCCAAATTCCAAAACCTTCTCAAATCTGTCCTGTCCCGGCTTCCACCCTCTGGTTCTACTATTGCTGCCACCACCATCAACATTAGGGGGAGGGGGACTTAACCTTCCAGCCTACTCCAAGGGAATGAGCCTCTCTTACCTCAGCAGAGCATGCTAAACAGTTCCCTTCCTGTTTTCAAAAAACTCTCACTTCACCGAAACTGGTTTGGCTCAGTGGATAGAGTGTTGGTCTGCGGATGGGGGGGGGGGGGGGGGGGGGGGGGGGGGGGGGGGGGGGCGGTCCCAGGTTCGGTTCTGGTCAAGGGCATGTACATTGATTGCGGGCACATCCCCGGTAGGGGGTGTGCAGGAGGCAGCTGGTTGATGTTTCTCTCTCATGGATGTTTCTAGCTCTCTATCCCTCTCCCTTCCTCTATGTAAAAAATCAAAATATATTTAAAAAACAAAACAAAAAACTCTCTCTTCTTCTATAAAACCGTGATTGTGGGTGGAGTGACTAAACACGTTTGTTTTATCTTTCTAATACTTAAGAGGGAAGAAATAAGATGCCTTTAAGCATTCTCTGACAGTTTCGCCTTCTGTCTTTGTGACTCCACCTATAATCGGAAAAACCAAAAGTTCTAGACAAACACATCATCTTTTTGCTTGTGGCCCAAGGCAGAATAGAACAGGGCCAGTGGTTTATCCTAATGGTGTGGAAGGACCGTCCTCCCATCACTCAAATCATACTATTGCTCCCTGTCTTTAATAATACCTGCTCCTCACTTTTGGGATAATTTCCAAGTTCCTAGTTCTATGATGAAATTTTTTTCTACCTTCTCTCTCAGTGATTGGCCACCCTATCTAAAATCTCACACACTCACACACACACACACACACACACACACACACACATTCCATATCCTTCTTCCTGCTTTATATTTTCTCCTTAGAACTTAACATAAAACAAACTTTATATTTTATTTGTTTACTGTCTGACTGCAGTATTAGAGTGGAACAATCAAAAGGCAGGAGTTTTTGTCTGCTGTGTTCACTGCTATATACCCAGCACCTAGACCTGTGCCCCGCAGAAAATAAATTATTTGTTGAATGAATGAATGAATGAATGAATGAACAAGCTAGGGGTTCCTAGCCTGTCACAATCTGCAACTCAGTCCTGCATCCTCCACCATAGAAACTTCAAAGGCCTCTCACAAATTCCTGACTCCAAACTCTCCCCAGGGCAATTCCAGAAACTTGAAATGCCATTTCCCAATCAAACCATCAAGCCCCTTGCCCTCCCTCCCCCCCCCCCCCCAGTTGTCTGTTTAAATCAGGCTCCAAGTCTATCAGGTTGATCTTATTACTCTCATATCTCTCCCATCATCTCCATCGACACTATTGTTACCTTGGTTCAAGCTACCATCAGTCCTGCCTGGGATTTACTGAAACTAATTTCCAGGCTCATACCCTTCTGACACAGTCCCTGGAACTAAAAGAGTGAGCTTTTCTAACATAGCAATCAGATCACTTAAGCCTCCTGCATAAAACTTATCAGTGGCTCCCCATTTCCTATAGGACTGAATCCAAACTCCTTCCCAAGTAACCCACAATCTTCCTTGTCATAATGAACTACTTCCAAATGTCCAAGAAACACAACCTCAAACCTTTGCCCATACTATTCCCACTGCACCAAATGTTCTCCTTCTATCTACCTAGAGAACCAGTGATCAATTTCAAAACTCACGGCAAGTTCATGTACCTCCCTAAAGTGTTCCTGACTCTACATACTCTACAACATTTATAACTGTGAGCTCAAGGAGGAGAGGAACTGTCTTGACTCCATCTGTGCATCCTCAGGGCCAGGTGCATTGTAAGAGCAATAAAGATTTCCAAGGAAATCCAAGGAGTGAGTGAATGTGCATAAATAATGAAAGTCCACCTCCCACATAGCCTGTTCAGATAAAATAGAGGAGAAGCTTCCTTTCATGCTGCTAATTCTGGAATCCGAAGTTTACTCTACCCAAGTTCATTTCTACAGAGCCCACTACTGAGTATTTTTAACCCCATATTCTGAAAAGATGTGAGAGGGAAAGGCTAATGCCCAACATTGTATAAAAATATAAATATCTACCACAAATCCAAAGGCAGGTTAAAAGAAATCTTACATATATAACCTTAATCCCATGTATGAAAAGTGTTTTCTACACACCATGTGATCATCTCAATTTGGCAGATTTGAACGTCTGGAGAATCGAACTGTGCAATTTCAAAAAAGGGCAGGAAGTTGTGTAGACATCCTCTATTAGTGGAGTCTTGTCCACAAAGATTTTCAAAATAAGCTGAATACAGCAAAATTCATGATCTCAGAGAAACAGTTAAAGGAGGGAATACCATGTAAAGAAATCACTGGTTTAGCTAAGCCTCATCTTTCCCTACCTTCCATCCAGTACTAAAACTTTTCCATATAAATATATAATACACACAATTTAGAGAAAAGGGGAATTTACCAAATTTACATATACTATTTGAAGTTTTTTAAAATCAACAAACCCATTCTAGACTTTTTTGCCTGTGTCTTTAGACCCTTGGTCCATAAATTGAAAATAAAATAACCCATAAATTAACAAAAAATTTTTGTTCATTGAGGCACTGCCAAAAATTCAAAGACTTGGCAATTTCCAGATTTAATGATTACTTAATTAATACTTAATTACACCCGTTTTTATTTTTTAAATTCAAGTAATACACTGTTCAAAGTATCACTGACAGAACCGCTATCATTGTCATACTTAATTTTACATAGTATAGCACAGCTCCATTCTCTGGAATCTATCCCACTATTTCTGAGGACAGAGCCTAAAGATGCCAAAATGTCTAACAGTAATTACATCTGCACTCTACTCCACTGGCACCTTCAGAGTCGAGAGCAAGAGCCACACTCCTACAGGGAAAAACACTTGTCATGGAAGAATCTCTCAAGTGAACTGTGAAATGTACTTTCTGACCTCATCAATGTAGCATTTAAAACTCTCTAAGTAGAGGTAATTATCAGGTGAAAATGTTCTTCTACATCATTATTCAACTACTAGCAAAATTACCTACAGGACTGCCCAAGAAATACAACTTCTAATAAACTTCTAATAAAGAAAAATCAGGAAAGGGATAAAAGCACCCTTACCAGATAATCCATAAGTAAATGATGTGGGGAACTCTGATCACAAGCAGAGAAAGAAAATATCAATTGAACATATAGGATTATCTGAAGGCTGACAACCTATGTACTTCAAACTCAACCATGTACTGTCTCTGATTACTTCTCCCATCTCTGATTTGAGCTGTTACTTCTCCTTCTGAGGATTCCCTTTCCTGGGGCTTTTCACTATGTAATTATGCAACATGTGTGGGCACTATACAACATATGATATAGCTTTACTAATTTAGGATTTTAAAAATCAATGTGATTGTCTCTACATACTACCTAAGTAGATGTTCCTTCAATCTGGAAGGTTTTAGTAAAACTTAAGGACTATTTTTTAAAAGTGTTGTTTAGAATCCTTACTTTTGTTTCCACTTACTTAAATATCACTTCCTAGATTTCAAATATTTTTGTCCTATAGGAAAATAATAAAATTAAAGAAGCCCAGTGAAAAACATCAAGAATAGCAGTAAGGAACTTAAAAGTTGGGCAAGAGACCAGATACTAATCTGAGGGGCTGGAGGTAGGGGGTCTAAATATTGTTCTGAGCGCACTGCTCACTTGCAAATCACCTGGTGGTTTGAGAAGTTCAACATTCTAAAATACTGCAGTCTACATGATAATACAAATCCATGATAAGCATCGTTAAATAAAGTTGAAAGCTGAAAATGCAATTTTTTTTAAAAAAGAGACATAGGCAAAAGCAGTGTACACTTAGGGGTACGTGATTCCATCTAATTTTCAGAGTCCTACAGGGCTGAGCTGACTTCCTTGTCCCAGCAAAGGGAGGCCTGGATAGGAGAAATGTCTTATTCTTCACATTGTTGGAAAAGGGCACAAAAAAACGTTTTGATGCGACTTACGGGTGACCAAATGAAATGCAAAGGCAACTTCTTAAAGTGCTTCAAAGTTCTGACAGCAGCGCCTCGGTACCCTGACATTCATCAGGCCTGCCCCCAGAATTTCAGAAATATTAACAGCCAACTGGCAAGGAGAAACATTTTCAAAGTTCTACTTCCTTCTATGGTCTCACCTAGGTCAGCACTGCCACAGTGTGAACAGATCTGTGATATCTGACTCATTGGAGGAAAAGTCCTACTGGCTCTGAGATGCCCCACAGTAAGGTATCCAGAGACAGATACTGATGCTGGAAAGAGATCTGTTTGTGTTTTTTTAAACACAAAAACAGGATCAGGGAGGGAAATGACTAGGCAAAGAAATGCACGTACCTTTCAACTGGTCAACAACAACGCTGGGGCCTAGGCGTTCAGTAACTCGCCCATCCTCCATTTCATACCGACCATCTAGGTATTTTGCAGTGGCCTCAGAAATGTGAACCTTGCCAGCCACGCCCAGCTGCTCCATGAGATTGGCCAGGTTCACGTCATTGGACCAAACGTCGAATTTAAACCTCCTCATGCCCAAGATGCCACATAAGACAGTCCCCGTGTGAACCCCAACACGCATGTTCACCATTTCTTTCTTCTCCTGGCAGAAGTGCTCGATGGCTTTTATCATGCCCAAGCCCATTTCGATGCAGCAGTAGGCATGGTCGGCCCGGGGCTCGGGGCACCCTGCCACACAGTAGTAGCAGTCTCCCAGGGTGCTGATTTTCTCACACTTGGTCTCTTCACACAACCGGTCGAAGCGACCAAACAGATCGTTGAGGAGACCCACCAGAGCATGGGCAGACTTGTTGGCACTCATCTTGGTGAAGCCCACAATGTCTGCAAACAGGATACTGACCTCTTCAATCTGCTGCATCTTAAACGGGCGGAATGCTATCGGGGCTTTCTGTATGGAAGACTTTTTCTTCCTGTTCTTGGGGCTGGAGGTAGCGTGCCTTTTCACAGAATTCTCACTCTCCTCATCCCCCTGTTTCATCAAGTCATCAGCTATGATTCTTGGCATCACAGAATGAATCATCCTCTCTTTCAGGGCTTTTTCCACTTCCAGGTCCTTCCCATGCATAATTGACTGTCCCACCTTGAGGAAGGTGCTCCTGGATCTCACCTGGGACATGATGAAGAGGTGGATCCCAATGGCGTGAATGCAGACATGGAGTAGGGCTCGGCTCAGCAGCTCCCAGTGCCGGGCCCCTGCTTCGGGTGGGGGGAAACAGTCTTCATCTTGGAAATGATAACCAAAGGTCTCAAAAAGAACAGAGTATGCCACTCCCAAACACAAGCTCAAGTACAAAGGTAAGTGCATGACGGTGTAGAGCAAAAAGAGCACTTCAATGCACATGGAAAAGCTCCCCACTCGAGATAAGCAAGTGTCTGTGGACTTAGCTGCGGGAGTATGATTGGAGCTGTCAACACGTCCTGAGAGAGGCGTCAGAACCTGAAACTGGGCAGCCAGGGTCAGAGTGAACACCAGGAGGGTGAAAACCAGCGAGGTCCACACATAACGTCGGGCATACAGCTTGGTGAAGGTAAACAGGAAAAAGCCCACACACACCACGAGGAAGCACAGAGCAGGGGCTACCATGACAATCAGTTTGGATCTCATGTGGACCCCGAAATAGATGCTCCAGAGCAGGCAGGCAAAGCCGATGTAGAACAGCGCGTACCGGAAGCGGCGCTGGGTTTGCGGGAAGCAGCGCTCCAGACAAGCCTCCTCCAGGTTCACCGAGTCGAACTTGGGGTCCCACCAGCGGCTGGAGGCCCTCTCGAACAGCTGGGGCAGCTTCTTGTGCCTGCGCAGGCGGCCTCCAGCGCCCACTCTCCGGGGAACACCCCCGGAGTCCCCGGAGCTGCTACAGCTGGAGGAGATGCTGTACTTGCAGTGTTTGGGATGAATGTTGGACGACAGCTGCTTGGGGTTGATTTTGACCCTCACGCTGTTGCTGTCTCCGCTGGAGTCGCAACTCACTTCGGTGCTGTGGTGCTGCAGCAGCTGCTGGTGGGGCGGGGAAGCCATGTTGCCGCGCGCTCGCAGCCGCCCCCGGCGGGGATCGCCGCTACCTGTCAGTGGGACAAGCAGAGTTAGGCTGGCATTGGTGCCCATCCAGGTACGCGCACCTGAAGGCCACCAGCTCTCTCCATTGCCTAAGGGGCGGCCCCAGCGGTCTCCTCGCAAAGGCATCACATGCCCACAAACCTGAGGTGAAGTCTAATCAGCGCTTCCACCGTCCCACCTCCAGGCCGACCCCAGCCCCCCGGTGCGGCCCGGAAAGCCCAGGGTCCGCGCGGCGGCGTCCGCCGAGCCCGCGGCACCGCCCGAGCCCGCGGCGTGTCCCCTCGCTCACCCTCGCCTGCTGTGCCCCCCGCGGCGGCGGAGGGGAGTCCGGCCCGAGCTCTCTCACGCCGCCGGCCGCTCTGGCAAACGCGGCTCCCCGGGCGGCGGCGGCGGCGGGCCCCTCATGCTGCGCGGAGCGCGGCGCCTCCGCTGCGTCAGGCCGCCGGCCGGACCCCTCTGTCCCGCCCGCGCCCGGCGGCCCCGCGGGAGGGAGGCGGGCGGCGAGTGTGCGGAGCCCGCGGCGCTTCGGCCGCCCCCGTCAGCGCGACCCGTCCAGAGAGGGCTCCTGCCGGCCGCTCCCGCCCGCTCCCGAGGCCGACCCCGCGCGCGGGGATGCCCGGGGCCCGGGAGACGCCCGGCACCGGAGGCGGGCAGGGCGCGGGCCCCTCCGCCGGCGGCCCGTGCGCGGCACTGCCGCAGAGCCCGCTCCCGCGACGCCGCCGGCTCGGGACGCCGGCCCGGGGCAGCCTCCCGAGGGAGCTAGAGATGCCGCCGCGGCCGCGGCCACCGCCACTGCCGAGCCCCACGGGGCCGCCGCCTCATGTCGGAAGAGCCGCCGCCTCCGACCCCCTCCCCGCCCCCTCCCGCTGTCACTGACAGACTCCCGCCCGCGCCGCCCCTCGCCCGCCGCAGCGCGCACGCGCGGCCCGCGCTCGCCGCCGCCAGCTTCGAAGACGCGCACGGTGCGCGCGCCGGTGGACGGGGCGGCGGGGCCCGGGGGCGGGGGCGGGGGCGGTGCGGACTGCGGCTCCGCCCTCCGCCTGGGGCAGCGCCGGGCCCGCGGCGAACACAGCGGTGCCGCTGGGGCTGGCCCGCCCGCCCCGGGAGCTGGCTAGGGCACCACCTCTCCCCGCGGTTCGGTCCCCACATCCGCTCGGGGAAACCTAGGAGGCCTGCTAGTTAAGGAACAGCTGGAGTGCGACGCTGAGGAAATGTAAATGTTTGCCCTCCCTCTCGGCACACCTTTTTTATAAATAGAAGTTTGCAACTACTGTATTTGCCAACCCTAAAGGGAGGCGCCCCTTTCCCTATAAGCAATGAGCACATGCCCAGCACTAGCCCCTTCCTGAGCAGGCTCCCCGTAGACCCAGCCTCTGGTGGACAGATGGGCAGGTCTCCAGGGGCCGTGGTTGCCCATAGAAAATGGGTGCCACTGAAAAACAGGTTCTCTGCCCCCAGAGATTCCCTTCGCATCCTTGGGTCATCTCTCCCTCCTCATAAACAACTGTTTTTCCTTTTCCACAAATGAAACTTTCGAAGCAATCTGCTACCAGTTGACAGTCCTACAAGTGGCCTCCATTAGTATTGTCTGCACCATGTAAATGCAGTCCTATACTCCCCAGTGTGCCAATCCTGGTTCTTCTCCCCACTCCTCACAGTGCTTCCTGCCAGTCACAGGAGTCTCCTCCCTCTTCCCCTCATCCCCCAGACGTAGCCCACCCCAGGCTTCACTGTTGAATTAGAAAATAAAGTAAAATGTGGTCTGTCCACGGAATATTCTTCATACATAAGAATGAATAAAGTACTGCCGAAATCGGTTTGGCTCAGTGGATAGAGCCTCAGCCTGTGGACTGAAAGGTCCCAAGTTCGATTCTGGTCAAGGGCATATACCTTGGTTGCAGGCACATCCCCAGTAGGGGGTGTGTAAGAGGCAGCTGATCCATGATTCTCTCTCAACAATGTTTCTAACTCTCTATCCTTCTCTCTTCCTCTCTGTAAAAAAATCAATAAAATATATTTTTAAAAAGAATGAATAAAGTACTGATTCATGCTGCAACCTGGATGAACCTTGAAAACATGATGCTTAGTGAAAACAGCCAGTGAGGAAATTCCATTTATATGCAATGTCCAAAACAGGCAAATTCATAGAGACAGAAAGCAGATTAGTGATTGCCAGGGTCTGAGGGATGGGTATGGGGAGCGACTGCTAATGGGTAAGGGATTTTTGGGCGTGGAAATGGTCTGGACGAGGTAAATATACAACACTATAAATGTACTAAATATCACTTTAAAATGGTCTAAATGGCAAGTTTTTATGTTATGTGTATTTATTGCAATAAAGGAAAAAATCAAAACAAAATGTAACATCACTACTGTGGTATTTCTGCGTAAAGTTCACAGCCTCAATCTAATCATAAGAAAACATCAAGCTAACCAAACTGGAGAACTATTTCTTCCAAGAAATTGGCCTGTACTCACCAAGAATGTCAAGGTCATGAGAGACAAAGACTGAGAACTGTCACAACTTGAAGAAAATTAAGGAAAACAACAACTAAATGGAGTACAGGATTCTGATTTGAAACTTGGAACAGAAAAGGACAAAGGAATAAAATCTGCAGTTTAATTAATAGCATTGTGCCAGTGTTAATTTCCTGGTGGGGTTTTTTTTTTTATCACTGTACTGTAATTATGTATGCTGTTAACATTAGGGAAAGCTTGGCTATAAAGTATAAGGGAAACTAGTGTTTTTGCAACTTTAAGTCTAAAACTGTTTCAAAATTTTTTAAAAAGTTAAAAATAAAAACAAACCTTTATTGCATCAACTGTGAGTCAGGTATCCTCGCGTATTCCATGTTTACCGATAAAGAAACAGGTTCAGGAAAGTACATTGCCCAAGCCAGTAAGTGAAATAATAGTAAACCACTGGACGCTTTCACTTGTAATCTAGTTGGTCCTTACCACAACCCTCTGAGGTAGATATTATTGTTCCTATTTTAGAGATGTGAAACCGGAGGTTGAAGAGTGATGTGCCCACAGGGTCACATAAAGGCTAGGGACAGAGCTGATTCAAAACCGGATCATACTCCTACAGCCACAACTCTCTCAATGGCCCTGGCACCACCCTTTGTAGGCCTTGTGGTGGTCCTTCATGTATCTCACTGTCTTCTACTTCCTGGACAGGAAGCCCTTGGAGACAGCTCTTATAGTTTACATTCCCCCACTTAATGCAACCCTGCACGCCCCATTTCACGGTTTTCCTCTATTCTGAGAGATGGCCTCTCTACACTTTAACTCCCCTCCCCAAATCATTTCAGTCCACCTGTCCTTTCGAGTGACTTAGCATTTACATATTAATTAGTCATCAGGTTTTTAGACACAGGTAGTGATGCACCCCACACCCTCTCTCTTGTATGTTTTCTGGAAGCAGTTGGGCTACATTCCCAGCTGTTGAAACCTATAAACTGCCAGAGCTTCCTTCATCTCCAGGTTAGAGCATGAGTCATTCCATAACCCTGAGATTGCGGACCATGTGCATGGCACTGTGCATCCAGCCCTGGGTGCATAATCATATACAAAGGAAGATCATTACAATGCCAAGAACTGGCGGGGAGTCACTGGAGAGTCCTGGGTCTCTTCTCCTTCACCCCCAGGAAGCATAAAGGTGCTGGACACGGGACAGATGTAACTGCCTTCTCCAACCATCCAACTCAGGCTGCTGCCAGATTTGTAGGGTTTCCTCTCCGTGTGCACAGATCTTCCACCAGACACAGCACACATCAGAATGCATCCATACAAACTCAAGCAAAAGCTCTCAAAAAGCCTCACTGGCCTCACAGGAAGGTTCGTCCCATCAATCAATCAATCAATCAATCACTGAGGCTTGGGCTAGTGGAAGTCACCTAGGGTGACAACATGATTCTCTTTGAGATAAGTAGCTTGGAAACCACCTCCTCCCACCCCCATTGAGCTACAGAGGCACATTCAAACACACATCACAGTATAAATGCATTGGGACAGACAATCACCCTATAAATTATTATTCAAGTATCTTGAGTTTATGAAATACTTTACAGTTTGCAAGAGCCTTATACCTATACTCCTTCCTTTGATTCTCACAACAGTGCTATGAAGTGCAGGGACAAGACACAATGGCCCCCTCACCCAGAGGCAGGCATCGGAGGTCACAGAGCCAGTCCATGGCAGAAGTGCTCAAGAATCCCTGGTTTCCCAGTCTGCCATTCTCTCTGTTCCACCCTGATGGTAATGACTCCCACTATGGTCTCTATCTTCTGAGGAAACCAAAGCTGAGCTAACCAATACTACAGGGAATATCTGAACTCAGGTGAGTCCCTGAATGCCGCCTCCTAACTCAGCTGCACTCAATTTACTCCTGTTCCATCCAGCCCCTCCCTCATTGGCAGTGGGTCCCTGGCACATACAAGGAGCTGCGCAGCCAGGCCCAGGCTGGCCAGAGTCAGGCTCTCAATCCAAGGTAGGGCCAGTCTTGCATCCTGGATCCCACACCCATAATTAGGGGATGTGTTACTTTGCTGATGTGCTGTAAAAATTATCACTAATTTTGTGGATTAAGGCAACAGAAATTTATTGTCTCACAGTTCTAGAGGGCAGAAGTCCAAGGTCAAGGTGTCAGCAGGGCTGTGCTCCCTCTAAAGGCTCTAGGGGAGGATACATCCTTGTCTCTTACAGCTTCTGGGGACTCCTAGCAGTCCTTAGCTGGGGGGCTGCATGGCTTCAATCTCTGCCTCCATCCTCGCATAGCCTCCTCTATCTCAGAATCTCTAATCTCGCTATCACTCATTATCTTTTTTTCAAATATGTATTTTTATTTTTATTTTTATTTTTTTTTAGAGTTTTATTTTTTTTAAAATATATTTTATTGTTTTTGTACAGAGAGGAAGGGAGAGAGATAGAGAGCTAGAAACATCGATGAGAGAGAGTCATCGATCAGCTGCCTCTTGCATACCCCCCACTGGGGATATGCCCGCAACCAAGGTACATGCCCTTGACCGGAATCGAACCCGGGTCCCTTCAGTCCCCAAGCTGACGCTCTATCCATTGAGCCAAACCGGTTTCGGCTCAAATATGTATTTTTAGCTGAAACCGGTTTGGCTCAGTGGATAGAGCGTCAGCCTGAGGACTGAAAGGCCTCAGGTTCGATTCCAGTCAAGGGCAAGTATCTTGGTTGCGGACACATCCCCAGTAGGGGGTGTGCATGAGGCAGCTGATCGATGTTTCTAACTCTCTATCCCTCTCTCTTCCTCTCTGTAAAAAATCAATAAAATATAGTTGTATATATATTGATTTCAAAGAGGAGGAGAAATGGAGAGGTAATTAGAAACATCAATGCCGAGTGAGAATCATTGATCAGCTACCTCCAGCACGCCACCTACTGGGGATCAAGCCCACAAGCAGGGCATGTGCCCTGAGGAAGAATTGAACCATGGCCTCCTGGTTCATCCTGGTCAATGCTGAGCCACACCAGCCAGGCTGTCTGGTTCTTATAAGGACAGCTGTCATTGGATGTAGAGCCCACCCAGGCAATCAGGAAGTTCTCATCTCAAGATACTTAGGTTAATGATGTCTACAAAGACCCCTTTTCCACATCAGGTCACATTCACAGGTACCAGGGATCAGGAGTTGGAATATCTTTTGAAGAGACACTATTCAACCCACTAGAGCACATGTGTCAAACACAAGGCCCGCGGGCCAAATCCGTCCCGCCAAGCCTTGCAATGTGGCCCGCACCGCGCTGTCATCACTGCACTCCGCTGCGTTTCCATCACAATGACAGTTTATGACTGTTCAGTAAACCATTCGGCCCGCGATTTAGGCTGGATTTTAGATTTTGGCCCCTTCTCTGATTGAGTTCGACACCCCTACACTAGAGGAAGGAGGCAGGCTTGGGCCTGCTGTGTCAACCTGTTTATCGGTAGGGACAGGGGTGTGGTGGTTACTGCTCCTGCAGCAACCTAGGATAGGACAGGCCTTGAGCAGGCAGGTGGCGGGCCAAGGCCAGGCAGCCCATCATCCAGGAATCAGGCAACAGGGCCAGCCTGCTGGTTCCCAGGGCAGTGAGTGAGCACAGCACTGAGCCGGGCAGGCAGAATCAGTGGTTCTTGAGATCTAGGGAGGTTGGGAAAGAACATTAATCCTAAAGGGTCAAGGCAGTGTTGCCAGGACAGCCTAAAATCACATTCCTGGGCCGCTCAACTATTCCAAGTAGGCGGAAGTTGTGTTAAGTGCTTCTGCTGCAGGCAGGCCACCATGCCCTACCAGGGACTAACCTCATATGACTCCAGAGCCCAGAGCTGGGCTTCCTCCTGACTTCTTATCAGCTGAGTCCTGTGGTCACGGTGCCATTTGCAGGAGGTGTGGCCCCACCAGTGCCCAGCCAGGAAAGGTGGCCATGCAGGAGTGCCCTGGCTGCTAGAATAGGGACATGGCAGAAATCTGGCCAATCTCCTTCTTCACTAGCACAAGGTGGAAGTCAGAGACACTGGACCACATATAATTCTAGACTTCAGTTATTCAACAAACCCTCTCCCTGCTCCCAACAAGCAGGGATGGGGATGGGACAGAAGCAGAACACAGAAAATGCCTCAGAGACCTGAAGCCCCAAAAGAGCCCGGGAAGGAGGCAGAGTCTCTTTAAGATTCTAGAAGAGGCAGCAGCATTGTGTGAGACTAAAGCAGTGGGCTCTCTGCATTGGGACTGCCTGGCTTCCAACCTCAGCCCCACAACTTGCTGTGCAGCCTTAGGCTAGTTACTTAACTTCTCTCAGCTTACGCTCTCTTCTCTGTAAACTGAGGATCAAAATAGAAACTATTTCATGTAGCTGTTGTGAGGATTAAATCAAACAAGCCAAAGAAAGCACTTAGCACAGTACCTGGTCTGCAGTAAATAACTCACTAGTGCCAGCCATTATAAGCCATCAACATCAAAGGTGAACCTTGAAGGTAGGTGTGAAATTTCATTTTATGTGTCAGCTTGGCCAGGATATGGTACTCAGTTTGGTCAAGCATCAGTCTAAATGTTGCTGTGAGGTATTTTTAGATGTGATTAACATTTAATTCAGTAGACTTGAGTAAAACAGATTACCCTCTATAATGTGGTGAGCTCATCCAATAAGCTAAAAAGACTGAGGTTCCCATGAGTAGGAAGGAATTCAACCTCAGACTGCCTTCAGACTTGACTGCAATATCAACTCTTGCTGGAATTTCCAGTCTGCCAGCTTCGCCTGTGGATTTCAGCCTTTCCAGGCCCCACACCTCTCT